AGGAATCTTTCAAAGCATATGGTATTTTGATAATATCTGGTGGGAGACATGGCAACTGCAAATTACTATCACTATTGCCAAGTTTAAAAAGCCATTCAGAAAAAGTCTATCTCCACACCTGTTGTAAATTTTGTTTTCCCAAATACCGATGATATTATAAATATTTACACAGGTGCATCAAAGCTCATTCTCACCCCACTCAAAGATGACATATTCAGAATAAATAATGACATTGTTAGAAGACTACCTGGTGATCATATGTTCACTTAAGCATTGATATGGTTGACTCAAATGACCTTGAAAAGTTCCCAATTGAATTCTTAAATTCAATCACCCCTTTGGCACTACCACCACACAAATTAATTTTAAAACAAAATGTGATTTTGATTCTTCTTAGGAACATATCTCCACAAATTGGTTTATGCAATAGCACTCACCTCATTCCCAGGTAAACATCTTGAAATGTTTTAGATTGTAAAATTATCACAGGACAATTCAAGGGATCGCAAGTTTTTATTCCATATATTACTCTTACACCTTCTGATGTTAAAATCCCTTTTAAGATATCCCAAAGACAATTCTCAATTCATCTAAATTATTGCTTTAACAATTTCTAAAGCCCAAGGCCAAACTTTTGATTGTGTTGGCATTTACCTCCCCTAACCTATTTTCACACATGGTCAATTTTATGTTGCCCTCTCAAGGTGTAGATCACCTGAACAACTTTGTGTTCAAGTGACTTCCAACCCTTGTTCAAGGCAATCTTATACCACATGATCAACACTTTTACATTGTGAATATAGTCTATGCTGAAATTCTTACCTAAATTGAAAATTACATGGCATAATTTCAAATCCAACCATGATTCCACAAAGCTATCTGCTTAGCCACCCTTAACTTGTAGCTGCGAGTTTCAAGTGCACACCACAAGAAAGCTAACACTATATGGTGTGCGGGTGGTGTGCCATTTTGGTTATGGCAACGTGTTATGAAGGTGCTAATGGTAGAGGTACAGTTTTCATCCAATTGCTTCCCAAAGTGCAGCTCTCATTGCCGTATAATGGTTTCCGGCTCATCTCAAGAGGAACCTCTCCAGCAGGCTGTGGAGCAACTTGCAACACCTGGGCCAAAGATGGACTTGGAAGCATTCTTTTTGCATTCAGAATGGAGGATTGCAACTCAACACTGATTTAATCTAGCTTATGCAATGCTCATGGGCAGAGTTCGTAAATTCAGTAATGCACTTACTATACTTGGTTGTTGTCTAAACTCTTCAAATCCAGATTTCCTATGCTGATTTTATGATTACAGCTAACTTGTGGGGCATGATGCAGGATAACCACAGCCACCACAGCTTAGTTTTTCTGAAATATCCAACACCTTAACACACACTAAGTTATAGTTAAGACATTCATGTTCGGTCAAGAGAATGTCTTTAAATTGTGGAGTTGATAAAACAGCAAACATCAGCAAACCTCTTGAAATGGCATGAAATTTGCCAACCACCCAGCATTTGCTGGGCAATTGCTAATATCAAAATGAAACTATAATGAATATCATCAAATGTCATGTCTATTGCATTCACAATGTATGAAACCAATTGTGAGCTATTCATGGACTATGAAATCCTGTTTTTTTTTCTAATGAAGCATCCTACTATCAAGTCCATCGTTTTTCTTGCAGTTAAAGAAGCGTGATTCGCGAAAAGCCCTAAATTTTGAAGTTTAAAATTCGCATATTTATATTCGCATATCCCCGAGTCGGAGATCCAACGGCCACGACAAACTGGACACGTGGAAGCAGTGGATTCAGGCTCGGAGCTGTAAGCAAATTATAAGATCTCTGTGGTCTGATTTTCCCTCTCTTTCGCGGTCGCGTCGTGCGTAGGGCTTTCGATCCCGGGAGCTGGATTGGATCGATCGATCCATGGCGGTGAAGGACGGCGCTGTGAGCGCCGATGCGTTTGAGGCGGGCGGCGGCGGCCTGGTGCTCCAGTCCAACGGCAAATCCCCCCCCAAGGTGCGTTGCTTCTCTCCCTCTGACCTAAAATGGAGCGCCTCGCGGTGGCATTCTGATCGATCCGGCGCCCCGGGCTTCCAGGTCGTTGTGCAGACCAAGAAGATTCTCTCCAAGCACGCCGGGAAGCTTGCGACTCGCGCGGACAAGCATGAGAAATTTATCAACAAGGTGAGAAAGAGGAGAGGTTTTATGGGATTTTCTTCTCAATTTCATTCGCATTCCTTTGCAGGTGAAGTATTGTCTTGGAGTCTTTTGCTTTGGCACATTTTGCTACTTGCTTGGTTCAAGTAAGTTCCTTCATTGGTTTTTTTCTTTCTTTTTTTTTTCTTTTGCGTACGATGAAAGCTTTGATCTTTCTTATCATTTTCTCCAGGGCCTCAAGATATCCCGTATTTATACTGCACATTCTTCATAACCGTGGCGCCTCTCCGGTGGATATACTATAGAATAAGGAAGTGGCACTATTATCTATTTGTAGGCGTTCTTTTCTATTTGTCTTTCTGTTCTTGACGATTCTTCTCTGCAGGACTTCTGTTACTACGCAAACGCCATCTTTATGGCAATGCTGCTCTATTTTCCGAAAAACGAGAGGCTGTTTATGGTCTGCTTTGCCTTTGCTGAGGTATGCCTTTCCAGATTTGTATCTTCTTTTGGAGACACACGCATTGTTATTGTTTTTGCAGGGACCTCTTGCCTGGGCGTTGATTATATGGAGATGCAGCCTTGTGTTCAGCTCGATCGACAAAATTATCAGCGTGTTGATCCATTTGCTTCCTGGTGAGTGATTGATTGTGCTTTTTCGCATTTATGCTCACTTCGATTGCTCCCAGGTCTGGTATTTTTTATCGTTCGTTGGTGGGACCCGAGTACATTCTCACTTCATTCAACCGAGCTCACTGGACCATGGCCTGCTTGGCCCTTGGTCCAAACTCGAACAGATCTGTGGACCTGGCTTTTTGCTGTTCCTTTGGCTGCATACACGGTGTGGCAGATCCTTTACTTTCTCATTGTCAACGTGCTAAGGCGACAGAGGCTGTTGAATGATCCCGAGATCATGACTTCTTACAGGTTAGCGGAACTTTCTTTTCATTTGGTGTTTCTTTTTACTATTTTTTTTCGAACTTAACATGCTCTTGTATCAGGGAGTTGTCTCGTAAAGCCTCGAGAGCGAATAACATATGGTGGCGACTGAGTGGAATTCTGGGAGCTCAAAACCGGCTAGTCATGTACGCGGTGCTCCAGGCGCTCCTGACGGTGGCAACCATGGCTCTCACAGTCCTGATGTTCAAGTCATATCGGCTCCACTGCGCGTTTGAGCTCCTCAAGGTGGCAGCCGCGATCTGGAACGGAGGGAACTTTCTCTTCGAGGTGATGCCCAGGCAAGCAGACAGGAAGAAAGCCAAAGCCATCGCGAAGCTGCAAGTAGCTCCGGCACCATCATCTCTCGCAAATGGCTCCGCCGGCAACACTCACAGCAGTGACGACAAGATGGTTTGCTCGATCTGCCGCAAGCTCAGCGCTCCAAACATGTCGGGGATGAAGTTCATGCTCAGCCAAAACGATGGATCCGTCCAAGAGCTGGCGAGCGACGAGGGCGAGAGACAACCAGCGAGAGACATCACAGCTTCATCGCCCAGATTGCGACGAAAATCATATGGAGACTTGAACGCTCTCCAGGAACACCAGCAGCATTCCATCGACAGCTAAAACTTCGTTTTGTTTTTCCTCTTTGTAACATAAAGCCTTTCGTGTATTCCGTGCGTGGCGCCACCTAAGCTGGCCACGTGGTTGCCGCGTGTCAATCTTTGTGCAAATGTGGTAGCCACGTGGCTTGATACGCGGCACTTAGTGATGATTACCGAACGTTCATACAAAGAATGAGGCGGTCCCCATACGCCCGTTGCTTGCACGGAGAAGAGGAGACGAGGCATTTAAAGAGAGGTGTGAGCCGTTCGATACACCCACTTCCCGGCCCCGCGCGGCCGTCCGATCGGCGTGACAATGGCGATCAAGCTTGCGACGCTATTGCTCGTCTCGCTCCTCTCGATCGCTCAAACTGGCGCTCATCGAGGTAGAAAAATTCTCGCGGAAAATCCATCTAGGAATTTCTCCCGGTCGATCAAGCGATTGATCGTGAAGCTTCTTTTCTTTTTCGATTCTTTGGCGTAGCCCATCTAGGTGCTCCAGTTTCGAGCGTCACCGACAAAGGACCTCGAGATATCGGGCAATGCTCGTGTCGCAAATCGTGCAATCCCAACAACGATATTTGCTACAGTCGATCAATCTGCTGGGCGTGCTACGTGAATGGAACCACAGGTTGTATAAATCATCTTTGATCGCATTTCTCGAAGATCAGTCCTCGAAGATCACAAGAATTTGTTGCCAGACAATCCTGGTGGGAGCTTGGCTCCATCTGCCGGCGACGCTGGATTCATCTTCTTGCATCAACTCGCGTCCAGCAAATGCAGTTGCAAGAAAGCCTGCAATCCAGGAAATCGGCTTTGCTACAACGCCGAGGCGTGCTCTGATTGTTCACAAGGTGGTGGAAGATCTGCGGAGACTCTTCCAATTTCTCTGGATTTCCTTGATGGATTTTTTCTGATTGGTTTTTGTTTTCTCTTGTTTTAATTTTTTTTTATTGTTTTTAAAAGGTATTGCTCCATCGGTTAATCCACGGAGGAAATGCAATTGTCGAAAATCTTGCGACCCGGATCATTCTAATGCGTGCTTTGACGAAAATTCTTGCTACACTTGCGTCACAGGTAAGATTAATCATAATATTAATTCGCTTATATCGCTCTTTTCTTGATTTTTCTTTACGTATTTTCTTGTAGGGAATACAGCACTACCCCCAAATTCCGGATGAAATTTCTCACAATGTAAAAGCCCATTAAATCAAATCTGACGGCCGACAAAGCAGACTCTCGGCGATCATGCCACGTGTCGGTTTGCGTTGTTTCATTTGGCAATGGCAGCAGGACTGTAGAGTCAGTGGTTAGGGTTTTTGGCACGCGAGGGCGCCCGTGCCTGTCGCGGTCGTGGAGCTCCTAGGAGCTGTAGATCTTGACGCATTTCTCTCGATCGATCTCTCGATCTGTCCATCTCCAGCTCCCGCGGCGTATGCAACTGCGAGCGCCGACCGACGGCGGTGAGCGATGCTTTCGAATGAGAAGGCGTCTGTGACGAAAGAGCAGAACGAGCGGCACAAGAAGGTACCGGAAATCCAGCTGAATCAGCGGAGAATTCGCCCAAGTCTCTCCGGAAATTTCTAGCTAGGTTATTGATTCCACTCTTGGTTTCGTGTGCTAGATCCTAGAGGGACTGCTGAAGCTGCCAGAGAATAGGGAATGCGCTGATTGTAGAAGCAAGTAAGTCCAAGATCTAAAGTTCTCTCCTTCTCTCGTTTTTACTGACTGGAACTTGGAATGCCAGGGGTCCGAGATGGGCTAGCGTCAATTTGGGAATTTTTTTGTGCATACAATGCTCTGGAATTCATCGGAGCCTCGGAGTTCACATATCAAAGGTACACACATTCTCTGATCGCGGTTTTCGTAGAACGAAGTTTACTTCTTTTTTTTTATCTATAGATACGATCCGCGACGCTGGATACATGGCTGCCCGAGCAAGTTTTAGTAATGCAAGGTTGGTTCTTTTCTCGTTTGATTTTTTTTTTTTCGTGGCTGAGCTTTCTTTGCGTAGAAACGGGTAATGCGAGAGCCAACAGCCACTGGGAAGCGGAACTGCCACCCAACTATCGTCGTCCGACGGAAAACGATCGAATTGGCCTCGAGAATTTCATCAGAGCAAAGTATGTGACGCCGAATAAAATCTGATGCAGTACTGACATTCTTCTATTACAGATACGATGCGAAGAGGTGGATTCCAAGGACTAAGCCGTCTAAATCACCGGAGAGGCACGCAACCAGCGAAGATCGTGCGAGGCAGCTGAAAGCTGATACGACGCATAGAAAAGCTGATGGCAGTAAGACACCGCCAAGAGACAAGCGAGTGGCTACTGATAACACGGATGTGCCTGAAGAGCCTCGGCGTTCTTCAGCGGATTCTTCAGGGAAGACACCGGTAAGTTTTTTGTCATTGTTTTGCATTTTGCCGATCACAACGCCATCAGAATGCGAACTCGAGGGAAAATGTGAAGACTCCTGAGAAGCCTCACGTTCCACAAGCAGCAGAGAAGCCAGCTCCTCCGAAAGTTGATCACGCGGCGGACCTCTTCAGCCTTCTAACAGTCGCTACTCCTGAGACGGAAACGCCATCGGGATCCGACGAGAACTTGTGGGCGGCTTTTCAAGGTACTCGCAGAAAATTTCGTTTTTTTTTTCTCCCGGCATTAATGTTTTGTTTTTGTTGTAGCTGCCGATACTTCCACTACAGCCCCAGATGCCACAGCTCCTGCGACAGCTGTTACTGCCACACCTGATCAAACAGAAAAGAACTCATCTACTGTGAAGTCTGTCACGTCCGGGCTCGAAGATTTGTTCGCAGCGTCCCCGATAATCACAGCAAAGCCAGAAGCGCCTCCAAAGGATGTGAAGAAAGACATCCTTAGCCTTTTCGACAAGGTAGATAGTTCATCTTTTACAAGTTCTTCCTCGTTTCTGACTTCTCCTCTTCGCTATGCAGACACGTATGACATCTCCTTTCACTCTCCACCAGCAGCAAATGGCGGCACTGCAGCAGTCGATGCTTGCCGCGTCTCAAATGCCGCGGCCGGCATATCCCATACCTCATCAGCCTCTAGGAAACAATACCACCATACCAAGCAGCGCAAGCAAAGAGGCTGAGAATGGACACCTCCATCTCTTGGGCGGTCTCCAGTTCCCCGCTGGACCTCCAAACGGTGCCTTGCTGCAAAATGGCACGGTAAGTCAGTGATCGTTCTCACAAACTTTCAGATCACTCAGTCGATCGATCCTTTTTTTCTGTATCGTTCAGGCACCACAGCAACCAGCATACCAAGGATATGGGAACCAAACAAGGTACTTTTGCTACTTTGGTTTTCGAGTTTCGTCATGGCTCATCGTTGTGATCACGCAGCTCGCAATCGTTCTCGGCTCCAGTGATGTCTTCCTCCTCGTATCCAAACGGTGCGAATCACCAGCACCATGGCGGCGGCTCCTCCAGATCGAGCAGCGGCAGCAAGCAGCAGCCGCTCGTCACTCCATCGTCTGGCGCGAGTTTTGATTTCTCGTCTCTCGCCAATGACGCATTCTTCAAGCGCTAAGAGTTTGTACTTTTTTATCTCTCCTCTATAGTTACTACTGATTTTGATTTTTAACACAAAGAACAATAAAGATTCTGTAGTATATTCTTTTGGCGGGAACATTGGGTATATCCTTCTGGCATCTATTTTGAAAAGCCCTAATGCGGGGTTAAGCCCTTTCTCTCGCCTGCGTGTTCTTCGCGAGAGGGCGATGGATCGATCGATTCGATTCCGCTTCTCTCTACGCGTTCTTTGTTCCAGATCTTTGGATTTTCAACGACAGCGGCCCCGGATTTAAGCCTGAGGTACGAGAAATCTTTAAAGCTTCTCCTGTTCCAGTCATGTCTGTGCACAGTTTCTTTTTCTCTATTCTTCCTCCTTGCTGGAGAGCCACGACGCGACGACGCAAGTTGATCGCGAGGAAGAAAGCAAAATTTCGGTCGTGAGTGAGTGAAAGGTAGGAATGGCAGGAAGAACAAAAAAAACTCGTTTGGTTCTTTCTTTTAGTGCTTGCACGTTGACTTTCCCTGAGCAAGTGATTGCTAGAGTTAAAAACGTTGGTGAGAGTTATACACGGTTTAGGAGTGTCCCTGTTATCGCCGTGGGAGTTATACTATAGATTGTTTAAATCTTTGCAAGCTCATGGCTCTTTCCTTGATCTTTTTCTTTGATTGCTTTCTTTGCATTCGTGGGCGGTACTTACGATGGAGTTGGTCTTGTTTTCTTCTTCCAGGTGGATCCGTTTCCTCGGAATGGTTACTATTCACTGGAGCTTGCTGGAGAAAAGGGAAAAACGAAGATCCTTGAGAGGTCAGTGACACACTCACTCACAGGTGGTGGTGGTGGCTGCGATCGAGGCTGCGAGAGAGAGATGGGAAACCAGTTGACTTGTATGGCCAACAACAAGAGCGTCACGGACTCCCAGATCAAATCGACCAGATCCTCCTCCAGCAAAAAGGCCAAGAGCAAGGCCAGATTGGAGGAGGAATTGCTCCAGCAGCAGCAGGCCCTGGCGCTGGCCCTCTTCCACCAGCAGCAGAAAGTCGGGCGAGCAATGTCCCAGCGCTACAACGATACTGCCGCTGCTGCTGCTCTCCACCGAAAGGGAGGCTTTGCCAGAAGCTCCAGCGCCAGGCCTCGCTCGCTGGCCGATCCGGAGCTCCCACCACACCAATTTCTCGAGGTAAACAGTTCATCTTCCTTGGTTTCCTGACTTCCAGCCTCTTGTCTTTCGGTGTGTTGTTTTACAGCGTCCGGATCCCTCGTCCATTGAGACCACGCACTTTGTTCTCGTCCACGGTGGCGGCTATGGTGCCTGGTGCTGGTACAAGTCCATCGCGCTG